CCCCGCCCCCGCCCCGGCCGGTGATGTCACCGCCCGGCCCAGCGCGCAGCCGCGGGGGGCTGCGCCCCTGGGACCCCAGCCCTTCGCGACCTGGCGTTCGGCGGGGCTTGGGGCGGAGCGAGGGTTCGCCTCCTAGGTCGGTGCGGCGGGCCCCGTGCTGCGCCCCAAGGGGAGAGGCTTAGAATGAGCCTGAACAGATGGGGAAACTGAGGCTGGAGACAGGAAGGATGCGATCAAGGCCAGAGATGGCAAGCCCAAGCCCAAAAGCAACCCCAGCCCGCCGCGCCGCTGCTGATCACGCCCTGATTGTTCGTTCTCCTATCGGGGAAACAGAGGCCTGGGCAGGCGAGGAGGTGTCCTGGTGCGCACAGCAGAGGGTCAGAGGCAGCGTGTTAGGCCGGAAGGGGTCGGAGACCTCCATGGCCTGGGCAGACCTAAAGGATGGGTCCTTCTCCACTAAGGATCGGGGTGTCACGGGCACCCCAGAACTAGGCTACCCCGCCCGGCCTCCAGCCGATGCCGGGAGACAAAGCGAGGGCGCAGGCAGGTGGGGAGGGTGGGGCGGGGCCCCGGAGGAGGGATCGATATATCAGAAATGAGGTCATCACGCTGAGGGGGAGGGGCAAGCCCGCGATGGGGGTGCGCTGTCTGTGATCGAGGGAGAGGCTGTGTCCTCTGGAGGCCGCGACTGGACCCTGCATCTGGGCTATTGTTGGTCTCCATTATGTACAGGAGTGGACACCCTGTCCAGAGGAGGTCATCTAAAGCATTCCAGGGGTGTGTCCTGAATTGAGGTCCCTTGAGAAGAGACTGGCCTGGCTCCCTGGCATAACTGACTCCGTCATCTGGCACCGTCCATGTTTCTGTCCCTAGTGGCCAGGGTTCGAATCCTTCATCAGAGAGAACTAGGGCCTGAGGATCTCTGAAGCTCCATTTCCTCTGGAGACTATCATTTGCCTCCCAAGTTGCTATAAAGTCTAGGTGGCCTTTACCAATATCTGGGTAGTATCAGGCATCTACTGCTGGGTATTGCAATACATCAAACTCGTATGCATCCTTCAAAATTCAAGAGCAAAGTTTTATCTTCCAGAAACGGCACCTGGTTCCCCTCCCCCACCCAAAACCTTGGCTCTGCGCTGACCTCCCTCTTTCTAGGTCCCTTATCCAGCTGGTCCCATCCAGACCTCTGTAGAACGAGATACTTGAGCTGGCCTTGGAGGTCAGAATTCAGGTGTCCTTTGTAGGGCATGAATAGACACATTGAATGAACAAGGGCTGCTGATATCTGTTGGCTCTGAGAAATTTATTGGCAGCCACTGGGGGGGCAGGGGTGGGGCCTCTTTGGGCCACACTCCGTGAGAAGCAGGGAGGAGCCCAAGCTTGGCAGAAACCGGAGCTGTGCAGGGACCAGGGCCCAGTAGGACTGAACACCAAGTTCCCGTCTCTGGCCCGGAAGAGAGACTTTGCCAGCCTAGCCTGGCCTGGCCTGGGACAACAGAAGAAACTGGGGTGCTACACAGGCCTTGGGGTGCAGTCCAGGGACCAGGGGGTCGGGCGGCCTGGAGAGACCTCAGCCAGAGGCAGGGAGGGGGGTGCAAGTGCCCCGGCCACCCTGGGTACCCCGCCACACCCCTCTTCCCACCGAGACCCAGGGGATCAGGGTGCAGTGTCCGGGGCCAGGCTGGCTGCACGCTTCGAGTGGCGGATACCCATGCTGTACGCAGGGGCCCTGGCTCTGTTCACGGTGACCTGTTCAGGGCAGTGGCTGCCAGGCCCAGGTGTCTCCTCAGGGGGCCGAGGGTCCCGGGGCCGGCCCAACATGGTGAAGGCTGGCCTGCGTTGGCGGTAGGCGTTGGGGTCCGGGCTGTCATACTGCCCAGGGCCTGGGATCTCTGCAGGGTCCTGCAGCATGCGGGCCGGGGTTGTGCGGCCCACTACCGTGTAGCTGGGGCTCCTGGGTTTGACCAAGATCTGTGAGCCCCAGAGTGGTGGCATGGTGTAGGCGTTAGGGGCTGGGGCTGAGGCGTCAGGGGGTTTTGGGCACAGGCGCAAGCCCAGGGTAAACGCTGGGGGGTTCCGCTGGCGCACAGGGGGCACCTTCTCAGGGCTGTAGGCTCCAGGGCCCGGCGTCACCTCCAGACCTGTAGGAGCAGACACACAGGGTTGACACAGGACAGAAACCTCCTCGTTCAAAGACAATGTGTGGCTCCCCAAGTTCATGAGCGTTCTGAAGCTCATACACAAACCACACAGACCCAGGGCATTTCTCCCACTGCCTGCCCTCTTCCACACACATGCTGCTTTCTAGTCTCGAGGGCTTCATCCAAGCCTAGGAGTGGCTTGCCATGGCCTCCCCTTCCCATCCTTCCTATGGAGAGCTGCTCCTCATCCCAGCCCACCCCACCAGCCCTCCTCTCACTCCCCTGGCTTCTGAGCAGTGCTCTCCATCCCAGCCCACCCAGGACCCCTCCAGCTGGGTCTCCCTCTCTCCAGACATGACCATGCTGAGGTGCAACGGCTCCTACCAGCTCTGAATCTCCCACCCGCCTGGGCCTCCTGAGGCACAGGGACATAACAAGTAGACTCCACCCCCAGAAGTTTGTGTTCCACCCCCAGGGGTGGGTGGGTGGGGTGGCTGGAGTGGGCATCGAGGAGCAAATGGGTGAGTGGGGAACCCACAACACAGAAGGAAGTGGACCAGTGAGGGTGTGGGATGGATGAGTGGGTGGAGTGAATAGGTGGGTAGTGGAGAGAGGGAGAGTGCTTTGGTGGGTAGATGGATGAATGAGCATATGATGGGTGGGTGGGTGACAGATGGGTGGTGGAGCGGGGGATGGATGGGTGGATCAATAGTGCATAGACAGGTGGATGAGTGGGTGGGTGGGTGGGTGGGTGTGGTTGGAGGAGAGCTGTGTGGTTAGGCACATGGCACAATGGGTAAATGTGTGGGAATCCTGGATGACTGGCAGGGGTTTGGTGAGTAGGGGGTTAACAGGTCAGTGGGAGGAAGAGATGGGCCATGGGTTGGAAGGTAAAAGGGCGCGTAGGAGGAGGACATATCCAGGTGACTATGGGCCCTGAGATCGTCCTATCAAACCCTGTGCCCATGCACCCTGGAGCCTGGGATGAGCTGGCCACCCTCATGCCACTGCCACACTTGGGTCCTTGGTCCTGTGGCCAGAGACACCTATGGTCGGGGGGCAGGGGGGCAGCAGGGTTCCCTGTGTCACTTCCAGCTGGTACTCACCCCGAGACTTGCCCCGGCCCTGCATGGAGTAGGCAGGGGTGCAGCTCCGGCCAAAGCGGGTGACTTTTGGGTCCAGGAGGTAGATGGGCCCTGGGCTGGTGTCCTGAGGAGGCGCTGGGGAGGAGCCAGAGTCTGAGGCCCCAAGAAGGACAAGCAGCCTGACCAGCTGAGGAAAGTGTCCCTGGCCAGCACCTGAGGCTCCACTGTCCTCCCACCCCATACGCATACCTGGCTCCCTCTACCCCCACCCCAAGTCCCCCATGGGCTCACGGCTCCCTGCATGAGCTATGAGGGTCTGGTCCGGTCCCCTCCCCAGCCCAGAGTCAGGACTGCTGGGCCCACACAGGAGTCCCCATGCCTCTCTCCTGGCATTTCAGCAACCCCAAGGGAGAATCTACCATAGCCCCTTTCTTAGAAATGGAGCCGAGCGTGGTGGCCATGCCTGTTGTCCCAGCACTCAGAAGGCTGAGACAAGAGGATCAGCATGAGTACCAGTTTGAGGCCACCCTGGACTACATAGTGAGAACTGTCTCAAAAAAAAAAAAAAAAGAACTTGAAGATTTAGACATGATGAAGGCTGCACAAATACTCACATGGTGGGATTTATCCTGAAAAAAAAAAAAAAAAAAAAAAAGTAAAACTTCTGGTGCAAAAAGTCACCAGCAGGGACACAGCAGTCAGGATTCGGTGACTGGCCTCTCCCCTGCACTGTCACGTGTCGCAGCCTGTTCTGTTCCCCATTCCCACCCCAGCTCTGTGACAGAGTGTCCCACCATGACCCACCCATGCTGCAGGCTCTGCTTAGAGGACTGGTCTGTTCCTGAACCCTCCACCATCCTCCTACTCATCCCACAAAGCCCATGCCTCACCTCTCACAGTCTACCCTGGACTTCCAGCAAGTGATTACAATCCCCCTTGGCCACAGAGCAGGGAATCTTCATGGTACTCATGAGAACTAGGCACAGGGCAGGCCTGGTGAGGACCCTGAGGCTCACACTCACACCAACAGCCCTCTTTTGCAGGTCACTCCCCAGATACCAGGCATGTCAGTGGCTGCTCCCCCGGCCCCATGGTGCTGGAGATGAGCCCAGGGCCTCAAGACCCTACCTCTGAGTCACAGCTGCAGCTCCGATGTTATATTTGTTCTTTTTGTTTTTGAGTCAGGGTCTCACTATGGAGCCCAAGTTGACCTCAAACTTGTAGCAATCCTGCCTCAGCCTCCTGAGTGCTAGGATGACAGGTGTGCGCCACCAGGCTGGGCCGATGTGAATATTTAATAGAGGTGGAGGATCAGGGATATAGCTCAATGGCCTAAGTGCCTGCCTGGAGGTGCAAGGTACTGACTCAGTCTCCAGTACTGCCAAAACAAAAAAGTGGAAGCTTGGACACAGAGAGTTAAACAGTTTGCCTAAAGTCAAACAGAAAAGAACTGCTAAAACAAGAGGCCAACAAAAACAGGTTTTGAACACAAAACACCACATCTTCTCCTTCCCTTCTCTTTATCACTAAGAAAACAGAGGACCAGAGAGGGACAGCAGCTTGCCTGAGGTCACACAGCAAGGGTAGGTACACAGGCCATCTCCCAGCCCTGTCTGCTTCCTATCTCAACCAGGCAGATGTATTCCATCCTGGGGGGATTCTAGGGGCTCCCAGCACCCCTCCCCCAGTACCCCTCACCTGCACTGGGCTTCCGGGCCAGTGAGTAGGCAGGACCGGTCACCCTGGTACAGTCGTGGTGGATGAAGCCCACGGTGGATGGCAGGATGTACAAGCCAGGCCCCGAGCCTGCAACCCAGAGCCCAGGTCACCACGGGGAGAGGGGAGGAGCTGGGCCTGCCCCCCCCCCACTGCAGTGCCAGGCTGAGGTCCCAAAGGTCTGCTCCCTGGGGACAGCGGGACACCCATTGTGAGCCAGATGCCAGTCACAGGGTGGGAGGGGCTGGGAGTGGCAGCTACTCCGCATGGGGGTCACAGGAAGCCAAGGCCAGGCATAGACGAGGCTGGTGGGAAAGCTGAGACCCCACTTTCGCGCAGCTGGGGAGCAGGCGGCCTCACCCCTGACCTCGGCGCCCCGCCCCCATCCGCGCAGCCCCTGCGCCCTCCTGCCCCGCTGTTCCCTCCCCACACCCGCCCATCCTGCACAGGAGGGGAGACAGAGGCCGGCACGCACCATCCTCCAAGGGCTTCCGCAGGGTCCCCATGGCAGGCGAGCGGCCCGGGCGTCTCAACTCGGCAGCTCGGGTGCCTGGGGCCTGGGCGCTGTCCCCAGTCCTCGCAGCTCGCGCTCTCTGTCCTGGATCCATGGCCGGCAGCACCTGGCCTTACCACACCTCCTGCTGCCGCACAGACGGCCCCTTGTCCCCAGGCCCAAGCCGGGCTGACCGGCCGGACGCTGGCCTGGAAGTGAGCTGGGATCGAGTGTCGGCCACATGGCCGGGCGTCCAGGAAAGAATCCGGTGTCAGCAGAGCAGGTCCCCGGGGAGATGCCCCAGGGCGCCAAGCTGCAAACCCAACACCTAGAGCGAGGGGGCTGCAAGGACTTGGGGGGGTGCAGGCCCTGTAGCAGCACGGAAGTCGCTCAGCCACGCTCAGAGCAGCTCCCTCCAGCCAGAGAAGCTTCTATCAGTCTGCTTCTGTCCTGCATGCAGCCAGCACTTCGCAAGCACCTACTGTGCGCCTTCTGCCCAGCTCTGTGCGGGGTGGTAGGTTGGGGCAGGAACCGTCACAGAAGAGGGCAACTCGGCCAGGGCACACGGCCAGGGCTGCGGCCAGCTCCGTGAAGCCCAGGCGCTGGAAGCACCGAAGGAACAAGGCAAGGAGGAACTTCACCGGGAAACCTGGAGCCCACAGACGTGAAGGTCGGGGGAAGCCGCCTGAGGACATAGATCCCTGAAGCAGGGAAGAGGGGGCCTCTGGGAAATACGGGGAAAGTGTTCCAAGCAGAGTAGGGAGCCATCCAGAGACCCTGGGGTCACGTAAGGATTTGGCTTTGAAGCCAAGGGCGGCAGAGTTCAAGCAGAATGGTGGGCAAAGCTGCGATCAGCCCAATGCAAATGCTCCCAAGCTCCCTCTGGTGGCGATCGGAGGAACGCTCTGTGGGCAGCGCCGGGACTGAGATAACGGAGCAAGTCCGAAAGGATGCCGGAATTCTGAAGTCTTACGGATAATGGGAAGATGATGGGACAGAGATGGGAAAGATGGTAGGCATATGATGGAGGGGTGATAGGAGGAATTATGAGAGGGCAGTGGAGGATAATGGGGCTGGATGGGAGGGTGATGAGGAGGCTGAAGAATGATAGGGTGAAGGATGTTGGATGGTGAGACTGTGGAGGATGATGGGAGATGATGAGAAATGATGGGAACGATGGGAGGTGATAGGTGAAAATGGGTTGGATAATGGACATGATGGGAGGGTGATGGGAGAGTGATAGAGGATGATGGAAGGATGGTAGAGGATGATGGGAAACTGATGGTGGTGATGAAGGTTGGTGGAGAATGATGGGAAGGTGATGAAGGTTCATGTGGGGAAGACAGGGGACAGACAGTGGTCCCATCCCCATCTGTGAGGAGAGAAAGTGAGATGTGGTCTGTCTGGGTTTCTTCTGAAGTCAGAAACACTGGGCTCTCCTTAAGACTATCCTGGGCCTGGGGAGATAAAAGCTAATAAGCCTGTGTTGTATGACGCATGAATTCTTGATTACTTTTACTGATCGCAGCAACAAGTATATCCCATGTGGAAACAAAGAATCCCTGTGCTTCCGGATGGCTGGCAGAGTCTTTGTGCTCCAGGGCAACAAGCGCAAGTTGCTGTGAGACCAGGCGCATGTGCACACAGGTGCAAGGAAGACACAGGACACTGTGTTTCCCGTCAGACTTGGCCATGGAAAGGAACCAGCTCAGTGATACTGTCTGGTTTTCTTGTTTTGTTATTTTTGTCTTTAAATACTGGGGATGGAACCCAGGGCCTTTACCTTGAGCTCCAGCCCCACCCATATTTAAATTATTTTAAATTTTGAGGGCCAGGGAGATGGCTCAGTGGAATAAGCGCTTCCCTGGCAAGCGCAAGGGCCTGAGTTCAATCCCTGGTTCTGAAAAAAAAAAAGGAAAAAAAAAATCAGCCAATAAATTTTGAGACAGGCTGCACTCCAACTTTCGATCCTCCTGCCTTAGTCTCGCAAGTGCTGGAGGACAGGTGTGGGCTATCATGCCTGGCTTTTCTTAAAATGTCATAATGTGTCCATAGGACACATAGGTTGCAAAGCTGGCCCAGATGCCATGTTGTGTGGCCTCTAGAGACCCGAGTCTGGGGTCACTGAGGGAGCAGCAAGGACAGTAGCCCAGACTGGGGTGGTCTGGGTAGTGATTTGAGGCTGACTGTAGGTGGGCTTTGGATCTGACAGGCAGGAGCCAGGAGGAACCCTCCCTAGAGCAGGGCAGGGGAAGCCTGAGCCCTTCCCTGTATGCCCAGGACCAAGCTACCATGTGCCTGTGGTGGTCCAGGGAAAACTGAGGCAGAGGGGCTCACACAGCCCCTGTAAGTCAGTGGCCCCAGCAAGAATGAGGGGCCCTTGTCAGGGGGACAGGTCCATCCAGCCACGTGGATGAGGACCAGGGCCGTGCGGCGATCACGAATGCTCTCGCCCTCCTTTTTCTGCCCACCAAACTCTCACGACCAGCAAGGAAGCCCTTTTACACGTTTCCTAGGACTGCCACAGCGAGCTCTAATGACTGAGCATCTCCAGCGATAGGAATTTCTTTTCCCATTTGTCTGAAGGCCGGAAGGGCCAGCTCAAGGTGTGGGCAGGGCTGAGCTCCCTTTGGAGCCCTCCCTGGCTTCATCCAGTTGCTGGTGCCTCAGTGTACCGCATGGCTTCACCTCTGCCTCTGTCCTCACTTGCCTTTCTTCTCTGGGTTTCTGGGTCCAAAGTTTCCAATCTTGTTTAAAGGCACAAAATACAGCTGGGTGTGGTGGTACACACCTGTCATCCCAACACTCGGGAGGCTGAGGCAGAAGGGTCACCACGAGTTTGAAGCCAACCTGAGCTACGTGGCAAAACTCTCAAGAAAAGAAAAATAGAAGATAAAAACACTACATAGGTATCTCTCTAATCCAGTACAAACTCATTTTAATTTGATTCTGTTTGCAAAGACCCTATTTTCTTTTTCTTTCTTTCTTTTTTTTTACTGAAAGATCATTTTATTTGATTAAAGACCCTATTTTCAAGTGAGGCGGTGTTCACAGATACCAAGAGTTAGGGCTTCAGTGTGGTTTAGAGGGTGTGTGTGTGTGTGTGTGTCAGGGTCTTGCTATGTAGCCCAGGCTGGCCTTGAATTTGCAGTGATTCTGAGTGCTGGAATTACAGGTGGGCTCCTTCACACCCGACTAGGACTTCAGCATTTGAAATGATAGACCCCCTGTGGAGAATGGGGTCAGGCGGTAGACTTGGGGACTTGGGTGGCACACGCTGAACCTGGATGGCCGTGGACAGCAAGATGTGGGGGATACTGGATGTTCTAGGGGCAAAACCCCAAGAGTCTTACAGATGTGGGGGTGGGGGAGAGGTATATGGACAGAGGGGCCAAGCACACCCCAAGCCTGGTCTGGGGCCCTGCAGGACGACAGGCCCCACCTCAGCCCAGCAGGTGCCAGCTCAGCCTCCTTAGCCTCCTGCAGCGCGCTGCTCTACAAAACTCACGTGCACACACACTTGCGCACGCGCGCACGCACACACCCACAGGGGCACACGGCATACACAGAGCCGGGGTTCTCGTACCCACCCCGTATCCTGGGTGCATATTGCTCTGGGGTAGCACACAGACCTTCACACTGAGGGTTTTTTGAGGCAGGGCCTCTTTAAGTAACCATATTGCATAGACTGAGCTGGAACCTGAGATCCTCCTGCCTCAGCCTCGCAGAATGCTGGGATGACAAGTTTATGTCACAGTGCCCAGCTAGCGTCCACCTTTCTAGAAACACATCCTTTTTTATTTTTTTAATTTATGTATTTGATACAAAGTCTCACTACACAGCTCAGACTCATGGTGATCCTCCTGTCTCAGCCTTCTCAGCACTGGGATTACAGGCATGAGCCACCACGCCTGGTTTTCGGGGCCAGCATGGCATGCCTGGGGTTATGGAGATGACATGATACGCAGTACCAGGGATCGAACTTGGGTCCTTGCGCTTGCCAGGAAGGTGCTTAGACTGCCGAGCTATCTCCCCAGCCCCAAGAAACACATCTTGAAGTCCACAAATAAGGATGTTTCCCCCAGGAGGCTAGGTTTCTCAGGTGATCTGCTGTTTTCTGTGTCCCTGGCTCGCAGCAGCAGCAAGGAGGGAGCACTCACAGGTGACGCCTCCCACATCCAGGGCCAGCTCTGCCTCTGCCCTCCCTGCCGCCAGGATCTGTCGCTGTCTGCCTCCCTGGGGGCCGCCTGCCTTTGTCCTCCTTCTGGCAGCCAGTAGCCTGACTCACACCCACGTGCCTCAGTGGCTGCCTGCCCCTCTATCCCACAGGGACTTCAACAAGGGAGTCTTGTCCTCCCCACCACAGCCCCAAGGACGCAAGGAACCTGCTGGGCTCCTCGCCTGCCCTCCCAGAAAAAGCTGCCATCCACGAAGGTCAGTGAGGATCACAGGAGGAGAGCTCCACACTGGCAAGTCGCCCCTTTTTCTCTATGATACTGAGGATGGCAGCCAGGGCCGTCCCACTGAGCTGCATCTCTGGTTCTTTCTTTGCTTTTACAGATGGGGTCTCACTAAATCACTCAGTTACCCAAGCTTGGTGAGAATTTACAACCCTCCTGCCTCAGCCTCCCAGACAGGCAAAGCACCACCTGCCTACTGCAGGGCCGCCTGTTAGAATATTGAGGTCCGGAGGAAGTGGGGGGCCTGTGTGCTGAAGATGAGAGGGCTGGGAGGGGCCTTTCTCTCTCCCAGACCCGTGTCTCCCCAGCAAACAGTGGCAGCAGCCTGCTGCAGGAGGGTGAGCAAAGTCACAGGGGCTGAGACACGGGGCAAGCTCATGAACTGGCTGAGGCCACACTCGCAGCTGGCAGTTGGCCACACTGGGTGTATTTACACCCCAGGAGTTGGCGAGCACTCCAGAACCACTCCTTACAGCTCATCAGCACAGCCCTGCCTGTTTGTGATGCTTAGGGATCGCAGGCTTCCGTCCTGAGCATCCCCCAAATGTCCCTATGTTAAAGGATTGGCCCTTGAAGTGTGGAGGTGAGGCCTTGTCAAGGATGGCGTCGCACACCTGTCATCGCACCACTCTGTGAGTTTCAGCCAGGAGGATCATTCAAGCCCAGCTTGGCCAACTCAGTGAGACCCTGCCTCAAAATAAAGAGGACTGGAGATGCAATTCAGTGTAAAGTCTGAGTTCAACCCCTATACCAC